GCTAGAAAATGTTATTTAGATATTTGAGGTATGTCTTTTTTTCTGATCTCCAGAATTATTTCTGAAACTGAAGTGTGATTTTTATTTCCTGTATGTTATTTTTCTGATGAAGAAACTGCAAAAGCTGGGACAGTATCCACATGACTCCAAAAGTCTTTGCTGTACTTTCCTAGCTAGTTACGAACTGCAAATCTGGGAAATGTGCTTTTGAAAAATGAAACCCTTTAAATGAAATTTCAAGTAAAAAGAGCACATTATCATTTTGAGTTTGAGTTTAGTTACCTGGACTTCTATATATCCAACGTAAATGATTGCTTAATGTTTTGAAAACTTTTCTAAAATGTCGATATGAATTTTATTCCAATTTATCTACTATCTTTCAAGTTAAAAACTCAGAAGCTATGCTGACGATGTTATAAAAAATTATCAGAATAAATGCTGCAGAGGATGTGGAAGTTTTTTAATATGCCAATGAACATACACACACACAGAAACACAAGCAACTTTAAATAAAAATGAACAAAGACATCTGTCTCCTTAACACAAACAGCTGACAAGATAATGCACAGAAAACAGACTAGGGAGCCATTGAAGATACAGAATAAATATATTCATACAAGTAATCATAAAAATGAGAATGCATTTTAATTCAAAAAGAACCCCAGATAAAGATGACATCTACATACTGATCATCCACATTGACCCTCACTGTGAAATAAGGCACATATTTGCAAGAAGGATGTGAAAATACGGACAAGTCCACGGTCTAGGAATCATGTAAAATGAACTATCACATACGAATGTAACACAGAACTTAGACTTCAATAAAATAGTTGCCTAAAAAGTTGAGGACACCAACCAACGAGGTCTAATTTGGAAGGGGGAGCAGGTGGAAGGCAGAGGCAAAGCAAAAATATAGTTCACAGTACTCTACAGGTTTCCGTTTTCTACATAATTGCTTCAGGAATGTAAATTACTTTTCAGGAGACAATTTCCTTTGAAATCTGTAAATATTTACGTAGAAGCAATTTTAGAAATGAGCTAAATGAACCAAAATCGTAAATTTCTAATAATCACAGGTTTTTTCATACCACAAGATGCTGGGAAAAAAGATGATTCACACGCTTAGAAATTGCTTTATAAAAAGGCAAGTAAAAAGTCAATAAATGAAAAATATGCATCAATTTGTAATTGATTTTAATTCTGATGCTTACCAAATGGATTTCTTTACCTATACAATAAGTGATAATTATTGAAATATCGTATCTATATTCCTAAATTCGAAATATATTTTTATTTTGCCAGGAAATTCAGTAAAAGTTCAAATTCCCCTAAAACTATTCCCACTTGAAATACAATAACTTCATTTAATTTAGCTATCACTTAATGTAAATGTTTAAATAAAATAAAATAAACAATGATAAATAGTGATATTGATTTTAGGTATCTTCAGTAACAAATTTTGGTTTACTGGGTTTTGGTTGAGAAATTACCAGCTTGCTTTGAAAAATAAACTATATATATATATATAAGTATATACACATATATATTCTTTAATTTTTGTTATAGTTTGAATGTAAAACGCTGTTTAGGTGCTATCGAAAAATACTCTGAATATTGTATGAATTAACTTTATCCAAAAACATAAAGACATAGATTCTAGATATATGTAAGCTAGGCAGGTCTCAGAGATTTAGAATCACCAAGCTATTATTTTGGAAGGAATATGAAAATAGAGATGAAAATATTGATTGGATGACAAATTTATAGACAATCCCATAATCTAACATTATTTTTGAGGAAGGAAAAAGGAGTTGATGTTTAAGAACATAGTTGATTAATGTTATCACACATGTGCTAAATTAAAGTTCAAATGGCTTCAGTCAAAAATTGTTGGACAGAAATATATAACTCTTAATTGTCATAGAGTTATAATTCTAATACTATGTCTAAGTGGGTGGGATCAAAGAACTGCATCTTTTAAAGAAAATATAATACTTAACCTCAGGATAGAGACTTTAAGTTTAGCCCTTCTTTGAGTAAATATTTATGAACACATTGAATAAATAATTTTATATAGAATAAATAAATTCATCAGTGAAAGTTACAGGATATAACTGTTTTTTAATGTTTTGATATGAGGAGACCAGTCTGGAACTGAACACCAAAACTTTTTCTGCACCAAGCGACACTACAATACATGAGCTCATTTCTTCGAACATTATTTTAAAAATGGGATAATGTTACATTCGGTCTTTAATAGTCGCACCAGATTTCCTTTCATAATTCCAGTGAGACAGTCCTAGTATCCAAATACTCCAGTTGAGGAGACAGAGACAAAGAGAAGAGGGTGGTAAAGGGGAGATAAAGCTAGAATCCTGGGTTTGACACCCTCCCAACAGCTTAATCCATTTCCCCACATTCCAATTTACAGTAAAATGAAATTGGCACATTAACCTGAAAAGAAAAAAAAAAAGAAAGAAAAATGACCAAATTCATTCAGTGAATCCAGGCATATTCAATGAAGTAACAGTGAGTTCATGCAAAAAGAAATTTGGCTCTGAAATAGAAAAATTTACTTTTACTTAGTGGGGAAAAGGCACTTCAGAAATAATCTACGCATTCTGGAGAGTGGACCCCAAATAGAGAATTGACTGGTTCTCTTTGTAAAGTCGTTTTAGAAAGGAATTCTGGTGAGCAAACATGAAAAATAGAGTGTTCATTCCTCCTGCTTCATCAAAGAGCCTCTCATTTCCCAGGGAAGCACTATAAATTGTGAGGCTCTCTACCTGCATGGAGGAATATAGTGAATTTGCAATTATCAGGTAAGAATATGTGAGTGATAGGGAAATAGACCTTAACAGGAAATTTTTGTTTTACTGGAGAAATTCTTAGTTGTTTATGACAGTTATTAAGAAGACTGTTTTTGACAAAATGAACTGCATTCCAAGTGTCGTCAAAGTAAAATTTCCCATAAAGGACAAACTGGAAATAGATGAAACTAACAAGAGAAAAGCCAGGTGAATGAAGCTAAAAACGAGATTCTATTTAATATATGGAAAATGGCGGTCGTATTTAAGGGCAAGAAGAGAATGTCAATGGTAAAAGCAAGAAGGAAATGAGCAGACAAGATACAAGACACAAAAACAAACTCTTATGATGCAGATTTGCTCTTTCCTATATTCATCAGGTCTTAGGGCATTGTTAGTCTGGGTGTTTGACTATCACCATGTTTATAGAAACGTGTTGGAACCTGTGTGTACGTAGAGTGTCATGTGCTGTCTATGAGTTGTTGTAGGTTAAAACTTAGAAAGAGAGAAAATATAATTTACTGATTAGTACCTAATGGAATTTCCTGCTGCCTGTTCTATGTAGGCAAAACAACACATTAGGAAAATGAATCTACCTCCCTTGTAAATATGATACAACTTGGACAAACCATTTTAATGCATCTCTAAATTTCCATTCAAATTTCCATTATCATGACAATTCAGTTGTACTTACCCATCTTTTGTGTTGGTAATTAAAATTAAACCAATTTTAAGTACTAGAACTCCTTGCATAAAATTTACTCTACTTTTAAGCACCAATTTATAACACTTAGATATTTCCTTCAATAAGCTTGTGGAGAGTTCATATAGGATTTGTGAAACATAACCAATAAACTCTTCAAAGCCCATAGAATATTATTAATAATCTCACATTATGAATTAAGATTTATCATATAGACCACTTATGTGACTAATTCATTAAGAATAACTATTAGTACTCATTTCATTTGAGTTAAAAGGAATATCTGCCAGAATGGCATTTCATCTTATGTGCCAGACTAGCAAGATTTCAGAAGGCAATACGTAATCAACTCTACTCAGCAGGAAACAAGTTTAAGTGCCCAGAACTTCAATCTAAAATAAAAGTAATACTTATTTGTTTAAATGGGATAGACCAGTACTTCTAGGATATGTAGAGTTAGGGAATTACGAGAAGAGAGAAAAGAAATCACTTTGGGTTGTATCCCATTTCCTTTCAACAAGGGTTTCTTCCATGATATTTCCACGGTATTTTGTTGGAAATGATACTGTAGGGTTATTATATTGTTAATTCTTTTCTTCAATGGCTCTATTTATTATCAAGACCACCAAAATATTTAGAGTATGTGCAGATTTAAAGGATAGATAACTATTTTTAGGCAAATGCATTTATACTTATAATAAACATTATATATACTAAAATCCACAAAATTAAAAGAAATGAACTTGCAATTTAAAAAAACTAAAATGTTTGAATAATTTAAAACTATATGTGAATAGAATTCTTTAATATATTAGAATGATCACCTTTGTGAAAATACTTCACTAAAAATGGCAAGAGTTTTGGTTTATCATTAATACACTCTTCCAGTAAAACAATAAATAAATTTATATTTTTATGCAAATCATAGAAATTTTAAATGGATTTTTTTTTTTAATTTTTTGCAGTTTTGGGCCAGGGCTGGGTTTGAACCCGCCACCTCCGGCATATATGGGGCCAGCACCCTACTCCTTTGAGCCACAGGCACCACCCAATCATAGAATTTTTTAAAGAAGTTAACTGTTGGCCCTGTAATATGACTGTCACTGCAGCTAAGCTGACAACATACTGTGGGATAGCCGATGATAGCATAGTATTCTAGCATGGTATTCTAGCGATGCATGGTATTCTAGCAGCTGAGTGTATCAGTCATAAAATAAGTAATGTAATTAATACCCATGTATCTACATATGCCCCAAACACCTAAAGATTGTAGGTATGGAATACCAGAATTACTAATCACTTTAGCTTACAAAACAGTTATGTCTATGCTATTAGGTTTTATACCCAGCTGACACAGAAACTCAGCAAAGATCTCCTTCAACAGCAGAAACAGTTGTGTTTGTTTCGGAATAAAGTTAAATACACTTTTTGGTTTCCCATTATTATCAGTTGGAAGTACTGAATAGTAAAAACAAATAATAAAGATCTTTGCCTTTTGTAAGAACATGTTTTATGTATGATCGAAATTTTTACAACACTCCGGAAAAGCCATCCGATGTTAGATTTAAAAATAAAATCCAAAGCATTGTCTGACATAGTACACATGAAAAATTGGAACTTCCAATATCTTCAATAGAAGTTGTAGAAAGTGTATGTCTCCTTGGAGTCTGACACTCACTGAACACAGCAGAAAATAAGGTACTATACTGTAAACAAAAAGTACAATAAAGGACAGTTGTAAATTTACATAGGAATAGTTCATAAACATTTTGGTCTTTCCATAACAGTTTTTATATAAAATGAATAAAAAAACCTTTAGACAGCTGTCATCACTCGCGTTTGACCACTGTTCACTTAGATGCACACAGACATGTTTATATAGCAATAGATCGATGCACCGTTACATGGATATTAAACTATGATTACTGACTGTAACTGAGATGTGCATTATCCAGTCAACATTATCTGTAGTTGAAATACTCTTACATTATGTATTCTGGTCATGTTGTATCTATAAAAACATGAAAATATAACTTTACATTATTCCAGTTATTTACATTAGTTCAAGCTTGACAGAGAAAAATTGATAAGCTACAATTTTTAGAAGAGTAGGCCCAGAGGTACAATAAACAGCATTAAGTATCTAGAGTCGTATCTGGTTCATTTTTAAAAACTCATTTGAAGTACAATATGGAAACAATTAGTCTGCAATTTGGTCATTCTAGCATGTATTATTTAAACTTAAAATGCACCTCCAACATTCATTGATGAGGAGAAATGCACTAAAATTCTATGGAATTATCTTGGAATTTGTGATTAGGGACAGTTAAATTTAGTAAAGAGTACCCTGATCCCACATGCCACCAGGTCTGGTGTAAGTGGTTCCTGTGTATCTCTACGGGTTTCCTTCCCTTCTGTGAAAAATAATAAATAGGAACATTTTAACTTTGTAAAATCTCAAAGGCTTACTTGCAGAAATAATAATAAAACAAATATTAAAAATAACTAGTAGACTTTTTTCGTTTGTAATTCATTAAACTCTGAATTGGGGGGCTTTAAAGGAAATAAAAGGTATTTTAGGAAGGGAAAGGTAGATTCTTTAAATTTATTGCCTAGAGAAATATATGGTCTTTAGTCCAATGTTATAGAAA